TGAAACACTTTGAAATCATGCATGGATAATTACAGGGTCCTGACACGGGTACCCGTGTCACAGGACACGGCCCGTGTCAGCCATGCACCAGAATTCTTGATTTTTGAGACCTTTTGTTGATGTTTTTGGATCATTAATAATTTGTAATAGTAATTAGGGTTTTATCGCTTTCATCCCCATTCATTAAACTTGTACCTACATCCCCTAAAAGTATTGTAATAGCGTAGAACTTTAAATTTCCACAATTTATCGCTTTCGAATAAAATGTTAGTAATTAGGGTTTCTATGACAAGACTAAAATCAACCAATAGAAAACCCTAATTCAAAATAAACAAAGCATGAAAAACAAACACTTTGCACACTTGCACCTCTAGGGTTAACCTCACTTGTTGCCTTGAAAAAAATAGTCATGTCCCTCGAACGTGGGATACATTAGCAATGACCCTCGAATACAAGATCGTAGTCCCTCGATGACCCTTCAATGTTGCCTTCGGTAAACGATCTTAGACTGTTACAAAAATTGCTAAGATACCCTGCAATGTTGCCTTCTATGACTACACGACGACCCACGTCCGTCCTTTCACATCCAATGATAGGACTTCTTATCAATCAATGTAAGGTAGAAATATCTAAAGGAGGAGGAAATGAACAGAGACTTTTTGAGTAGGTAGAACGTTCATAGTTGCTTGCTCACAACCATTTCCAAAACATCTTTCAAAAACACACCAACACTTTCAAATGAAATATTTTTCAAATTCAACAATTTGTATGCATTCTTATAGAGACGAGAATAATTACAAAGTTCACCTAAACGATGGCACTTTTCAAAAATACTTTCAAAAACATCACAAACACATTTCAAATAAAGCATTTCAAAATGAGCTAGCAACTAAGAGTCTGTCGATAACTACAGATGAAAAGGGTGTTAGCACCTTCCCTTTTCATAACATATCCCTCGAACTCAGGAAAATATTTCAAAATGTTTTTCCTGTTCTTTTCACTATTTCTTTTATTGGATAAAAAAAAAGTCAGTGGTGACTCTTGCTATCCGTAACAATTACGATAAAACGTAAAATACTCAAGTGAGTTCTTCCAGCGTACTACACTAAAAAAACTAAGAATTATAACTTCTATTATAATTGCTTTTGAAAGAGGAGAAATGATTTTTTTAAAGTATTCAACAAAAGAAACAAATTTTCAAATTGAAGTGGATTAAAAATATTTTTGGAAGCCAGTCCAATTATACTTGTAGACATGCCACTATCATAACCTTTCGCATCATGATCCTAATTCGTGGTATAAAACATTTGTCTAAAACAAATAAAGACGATTTCTTTTTCCATCTTATATTTTTTAACGCACTACATGAAATTTTAAAAATACTCTTAAAATTTGAAAATATATTTTCGATACGCACCCACACACTTATAATTCATTCGTTTTTTGAGATTCATCTTATTTTACGAGAAATTTAATCTGAAAATGGACTTCTAGAAATTCCAAAGAATACACTCTTGGTAAGACTCTTTGTCTTTGTCACACAGTTGAATAAAAATGTCTTACTGAAAATGTATTTCCGAGAATTCCCAGAAGTGCATTTCTGAGTTAAACATTGTCGTAAAATAGGGTGGATTTAAAAAGAATAAATTATAAGTGTGAATGCACACCGAAAATATATTTCTAATTTTACAAAAAATATTTTTAGAATTGCATAGGATTTTTTTTTTCCTTATAGGGTGGAAAAAGAAATCCACCAAATAAATTATATAGTTATGTATCACTTGAAAAAAAGGAAAAATACTGTTTATAGTATATAAGCTTACACAGATTGTGAAACAAATTTTACAAGTATATTTTTGGACTAGTTTTTTTTCAGTGAAAATGGATGTCTGAAATTGTATTTCCAGGTTCGTAAGAATATTTTCGATTTTCCATAAGTGGCTTCTCCACCACTTAGAATGGAAGAGCAATTTTTTTTTTTGAAAATGCCAAAAAGTTTATTCACATAAAGGCACAAGCATAATACAATATTGTCAAGCAAAATACAAGCAGTACCAACACCAAGAAACGCCACTGCCAAGGAAAACAAATGGAACCTAATTGGCAACACCCCAAACCAAACTTTCACAAAATTGAACTTATAGACTAAACAAAACACATCAACTGCACGACAACCTAAATGATTCAAACTGATTCAGATGGCACCAGAAACGACACAGCCTTCCCAAACCGAACAAAACACACGGACTCGGAAAGCTGAAAGATCTCAATACTCCTCTGCCATGGTGAGGCTTTTGGCGCCACTGCCGACTCTAAAATCCCCCCTCTAAAATCCCCACCGCTACAATTCCAACAGTTACGATTGAACCAGTATCATAATTCCTGAAAGTCTGAGGAACAAATGCACCTATGAAACAATGATGACAATATGAAACAGACACCAAGTTCTGACCCAAAAAATACTTCTGCTAAATTCAACAGTTATTCACTCGAAACGCCTCCGAGGCAAGGCACCAAAGCGATAAAATGTAACACAGACTTTTACTCCTGATACTCAGCCATTTCCAAGATGATAATTTAACTTCTTCTAACATTTTATCCAAGCATACTTCACTGTTATCGAAAAGTTTTCCGTTTCTGGCCTTCCAGATGCTCCAAATACCGGCAAACCAAACCACTGCTGTGTGTTGCGAGTAGACTCTCCCACTGCTTGACAGACCCGAAAACTGGTCAAAGTGTCTTGCACTGTCGTTATGAAAGACAGTTGACACTCCGAACCATCTGCAAATTCTGCTCCAGATACCTGAAAAAACAGGACATTCAAAAAAAAAGATGTGCCATCGTTTCTTCCTTGCCATAGCCACCTACACATCGGGTATTCTCTTGGCTAATCACTCCTCTTCTAGCTAAATTGGTCTTAGTGGCAATTCTGTCTTGAAAGATTCTCCACACCAAAATATACACCTTTGGAGGAATTGACTTATGCCAGGATTTTAGACACTATGGGTTAGCCTCGTTTGGTACGATTGACCTCAAAACTCTGTATGCTTCTGTATAAATGTGTGATTTCCCTTCCATCCACACCCATTTGTCCTTCACCCCTTCTTTCAGCTCAATCCCTTCTAATAGACTTTCCAACTCATTTAAGGTCGCTCTTTCTTCCCCACTCAAATCTCTATCCCATTCCAAATGCCACTTCGATATTCCATTTTCCTTTTGCAAAATTTCATCTAATTTCTTTGATTTATCTAAGGAAACTATGAATAAACTTTCAAAACTATTATTTGGTTTTCCTCAGCCAATCCACCAATAAATTTTCAAAACTATTATTTGTGTCTTCGAATGGAAGAGGAATTCTATTTTGTAACAGGCTGGGGGCTCTGTTAGACTCAGATGCATGGCAAAAGTGTACCAAAACTCTCAATTTTACCACAATAAATGGGCACTGTCACTATTACCCTGAATGAATCAAAATTACAATCACATCCTCAATGTATGTCTCCTGTTAGGAATTATATACACAAATCATCCAAAAATATCTAGTATTTGTGATGACTGAACTGAATAACTAGAGACATTTGAACACCGAAATGGTTAATAAAAGATAAACAGGTACACGTGTTTGCAATTTTGAGGAAACAATAGTGAAAGCGCTTCAGACATTCAGAAACTAATATGGTTGTTTATTCACAATGAATGATGCAGCATAATTGCCAGGTAGGAACAAATATCAGCGATTTAATTGATTTAAGAGGGGAAAAATCATTACAATAACATTGGTATAATCTTCTCATTTCAAGCTATTGCAATCTCAAGAATCATATCAATCCTATTATAAATTACCGCCTCAAACCCTTCCCTCCAAGCCCTAGGCAAGAGGGGAAAACAATAACTCAAACAAGTAAATAGCAAGTACTTTATCGCATATACAACTGAATAGCACCCCACAATCATTGAAAAATAAAAATACTAACTGATATTATTCCCATTCAATTGTTGATAGAGGCTTTGAAGTAATATCTTGCACAACACGATTCACACCAGACACCGTTACAGATTTTGCGTGAGACATCATCAAGGAACTTGTGCTCAAAGTAGTACCTGGAATTCAATTCAAATTACAGTTATTGTGAAGTGTTATTAAAGATGATAACTGATAAGCAACTTTATTTGAAATTCTAAAGGTTAAATATAAAAGGCTATTAAAATATGATGTATAGAATGTCAGATATAAATTTCCATTATATAATATATTAAACCGGTGGTGTAAAGAGAATCTGGGCCATCTTAGACCAAAACTATCCTAACTCATTCTGAAGGTATCCTAACTCATACTGAATGCCACCTGAATTTTGATACACAGATACTTAATCATCTCTATTTTTGAAAGATTTGAGAGGACCAGTTTACTATCTCATTCAGTGACCACTTTACTATCTCATTCGTTATAATAAGAGCAAGACAAGAGTTTGATGCAGGTCATTGGTAGAGTTTCAAACAGTCCCCAATGAACCAAACATCAAGTGTTCATTTGTTTGGTTTATAGCTATTAGCTTCAAATGTGTAATGTGTCCCATTCGTGCGTTTATCCTACCACAAGAACAAACACGCAATCAAGGGCCTGCCATAAAACATGCCCCATTTTGATTAATAAAAGATAAACAGGTACACATGTTTGCAATTTCGAGGAAACCACAGTGAACTGGCTTCACATATTCAGAAACTAAAATGGTTGTTCATTCACAATGAATGATGCAGCTTCATTGCCAAGTTATCTTTCCATCTTTGAGGAACAAATATCATTGATTTAATTGATTCAAGATGGGGAAAAAATCATTACAATAACTTTGCCAGAATCCTCTCATTTCAAGCCATTGCAATCTCAAGAATCATATCAATCCTATTATCAATTACCATCTCAAATAAATAGCAAGTACTTTAGGGCATATACAACTGAATAGCACCCCACAGCCATTGAAAACTAAAAGTACTAACTGATATTATTCCCACTCAATTGTTGATGGAGGCTTTGACGTAATATCTTGCACAACACGATTCACACCACGGACACCGTTACAGATTTTGCGTGAGACATCATCAAGGAACTTGTGCTCAAAGTAGTACCTGGAATTCAATTCAAATTACAGTTACTGTGAAGTGCTATTAAAGATGATAAGCAACTGTATTAGAAATTCTAAAGGTTAAATATAAAAGGCTATTCAAAGCCAATTATTAAAAAGAATTAGCATCAAAGGTGCTACATTAATGCCCTGAATTCTATTAAAAAACATCAATGCCCTAAAGTGGATATATTTTAAGGAGCATAATAGTATTTAATTAGGATCATGATAGAAATTGATGAGAAGATGATGTGGTTAAGAAAACCGATTTCCACTGAATTATTTCAGAGTTCATTTAAGTATTAAGGTATTTTATGTCTTGGGAGGATGAACAAGTTCTAATGCTCTCAACACACAAGCATCGTGTGCTGAAAAACTTCCCCGGTATCAATTATGTATGCAACCACGAGAATATCAAAAAGCAAAATATTCTAATCTTGCCCCAATCAATAGCTTATTAGATGCATGTTTAACCTAATAAATGTAAGTTCGGTGCCATTTAAACAAATAACAAGAAAGCAAAATAATTTTATGCAGAAGAAGCATAACCAGAAGAGTTATAGCCAGCATCATAGCGATGTATGCTTTAGTTGAAATCTTACCAGTCTGCTGTCATTCCATCTTGACTCGTAACAGCTCTGAGTGCAACAACATGGGAGTGTGTTCTTTGATCACCTTGAACTCCAACAGATCTTATTGGTAAGAAAACTGCAAAGGCTTGCCATATTACATCATAGAGGCCAGCATCTTTGATTGACTGAATGAAAATCTCATCAACCTGAAAAAATAAAAATGGAAAACAATTACGGTACTAAATCAATATTGCAGACAAAAACAAGCGCAAAAGCTCCATGTACCTGTCGGAGAATATCTAATGCATTATCTTCAGTCACGTCACCCAATACTCTAACTGCAAGACCAGGCCCAGGGAAGGGATGACGTTTTAGAAATCCCTCAGGAACATCCATGATCCTCCCTAATTGACGAACCTTTGAACAGGGAAATGAAAATAACCAAAACAAATTAATGCATAACATGACAAACACATAAACAGAAACAATCAGAGAATCCAATTCCAAGCACATGCAATCAAGTCAATAGTTGAAAATAAGTAAAACCTCATCCTTGAAAAGAAGCTTAAGTGGTTCAATAAGTTTCAGTTTCATGTCCTTTGGCAGACCGCCAACATTATGATGGCTCTTGATGGTATGGGAATGGGTTCTCCCACTTCCAGGTGGTGGGCATGATTCAATCACATCAGGGTACAAGGTCCCTTGAACCAAGTAAGAAGGTCTGGTTCCCAGTTTCTTCTCCAGCTCATGAGCAAAGTCATCAAAAATGCAGATAAACTCTTTCCCAATTATTTTCCTCTTAACTTCCGGATCCGTCACACCTTTTAGCTTTGTAAGAAATTGATCTACAGCATCAACACATACAACTGGTAAATGAAGATCCTTTTCGAACGTTTCCATCACCCGTTCCCGCTCCTTATACCTGTACACAACAGCAACAACAATAATAAACAAAACAAGAACCAAAAAAAAACTCCGTCTTGAAATCCAATATCTAACACCAGGGTAACCAACCTTAGCAAGCCATTGTCAACAAAAACACAATGAAGCCTATCCCCAATAGCTTTATGAACTATAGTAGCAGCAACAGTGGAATCAACACCGCCTGATAGAGCACAAATAACATGCTCCTTAGGCCCCACTGTATTATTGATCACTCTAATCTCTTCCTCCAACACATCCTCCATCTTCCACTCTGCCGAAATTCCACAAACATCAAACAGAAAATGCTTCAGAGTATCCATTCCCTCCGGCGTATGAGTCACCTTAAACAATAAAATAAAAAAAAACCAATAAGCAAATAAACACAATTGCAATACCAATTAAGCACTATAAGATAAGATTTAACTATGTATATACCTCAGGGTGATACTGAAGGCCGTATAATTTGGCAGAGGGATTCTCTATAGCAGCAACAGCACCCTGTTGGCTTCGGGCGACGACATTAAAACCAGAAGGAAGAGTGACAGCTTCATCACCATGGCTCATCCAGACAAGTTGATTATGTCCAACTTTATCTACCGGGTAAAGAGCAGAAGCATTTTGGACATGGATTTCCATCCGTCCATACTCCTGCTTGTTTCCGACGCGGACTTCACCTCCGAGACGGTGAACGAGAAGCTGGAGTCCATAGCAAATACCGAGGACGGGGACGGAATTGTCCTGAGCCCAGTGGAGAAAGCCGTCGGGGAAGGAAGGGGAGTCGGGGGTATGGACGGAATGGGGACCGCCAGAGAGAATGACGAGGGAAGGATTGAGTTCGGTGATGGATTGGAGGGAGGAGGTGCCGTTGAGGCAGAGGGAGAAGACGGAGAGGCTGCGAATGCGGCGAGTGATGAGGTGCGTATATTGGGAACCGAAGTCAAGGATGAGAACGAGGTCGGATTTGACGCGTTTGGGATCCATTGCCATGCCTGCTGGAAGATGCTAGGGTTTATGCTACTGAAAGAGAGTAATAGGGTTTATCCCAAATGAAGCCGTGGTAGAAACTATAAATAGATCACTTGCGTCTTCAGAGTATCATGTCTCATGTTCGAATTCTTTTAAACATAAAAAAAAATATTATAATTTTGCACTTAGATGAAAATAAATTTTACACGTGTCAATTAGTTGTGTTCTTTACATTTTTATTTGAACTTTTATTTTATTTATAAAATAAAATAACATAAATGGTAGGGAGTCACATGTGTATGTCTTATTGTAAATATGTAAATATAGTATAATTATTGATAGCGTGTTTAGCGTGGCCATGACTATTAAGTTTGTACCACATATGAAAAGCACGTGGTTGCATATGTTATACTCACAATTCAAAATTTTAAACATGTTAATTTTATATTTTTATTGGAAAGGTGGTTTATAACCATTTTGAATGAATGGAGATGAAATCGTGGTTCATTTTATAGAAGGTATATGATAAAATTATAATGTAGATGGAATCATCAAGTAAATATAACAAGTATAATATTTGGATAGAAATAAAATATTAAAAATAAAGGTAAGATCAAGAAGAATATTTAAGTGAGAAGTAGCATGTACCATCAATTTTAAAATATAATTATTTAGTGAAATTTTTATAAGGTTGTTTATTTGTAATCAAACACAAACATTATTTTTTATGAGTTGTTTAATAGAATAGTGATAGTTGTTTATGATAATATTTATTTATTTATAAAGTGTTATCACTTTTCTCGTAATGTATTAATAATAAAAATATTTTATTATTTTTAATTAAATCAATACAATAAAATCTAATATATATTATTCATATATGTGTATATTGAAAATATTAGTATATCATTTTTTAATTCATAAATAATGTTTATATTTTATATAAAATTTATTTCTAATTTATGAACAATTTAACTAAAATGATAAACGAAAAAATTTTATTTGAATTATTAATAAAGTTTGAAAAATCAAGATGAAGTAAAGTTAAAATTTGTTGTGGTTAGTTAAAAATTTTATGAAAATATATTTAAAATTCAATTTATATAAGACCAAATTATTTTTATCATTTCATATATTTTATAATTATATTTATGTTACATCTAATTATGGTTATTTTAAAATTTTAGAAATTTCAATTAATAGATAATAAAATAAAAGCGTAACTTTAAGTCTTTTAGATAATTTGCAAATAAATAGACTCAATGACAAATTTAAAAAATAAATAATAATGATCTAATTGTGTAAAAGTATAATTATGTTTTATTAGATTGACTTTTGAATTTTTTTTCTATTATTAATTTTTTTGTGAAAATATTTTCATATTATTTTATTTCTCTCAATTGCATGTATTATTAACTTATAGTAAATTTAAATTATTGAAATTATTTATTATTTATTTGGCAAACTAAAAATATTCACATTTTTAATTATATATTTATAAAAACAAAAATTTACCTTTTTAAAAAACTTAAATTTTACATTTATAGCAACCATAACAATGATAATAATTAACTTCTATAAATATTGAATAAAAAAATTTTATTGGTTAAAAGAGTTAAATCTAAAACTTAAATTTACATGCAAACAAAAAACATATATATTTTAATGATAATAATTAACATTTATAAATATTATATAAAAAATTAAAATAATAATTGTTAATGATTTAATCGTATAAAAATATAATCATATTTAATTACTAATTTTAATATGATTATGTATTACTAATGTTAATTATATTTTATTAGTAGAAAAATATTCACACTTCTAAGATGATGTTATTCCTATAAATTAACATTAATAAAATAGTTTAATATATTATAATAATAAAATAAATATTAATATTATAATTTTCAATATATATATTAAACTAATCAAAATTAAATCTACTAGATAGTAACCAGCACGATGCGCGACTGTGTGCATGTTTATATATATATATATATATATATATATATATATATATATATATATATATATATATATATATATATATATATATATATATATATATATATATATATATATATATATATATATATATATATATATATATATATATATATATATATATATATATATATATATATATATATATATATATATATATATATATATATATATATATATATATATATATATATATATATATATATATATATATATATATATATATATATATATATATATATATATATATATATATATATATATATATATATATAAACATGCACACAGTCGCGCATCGTGCTGGTTACTATCTAGTAGATTTAATTTTGATTAGTTTAATAATCGTTTTTTTTATATTCGAGTTTTAACATATTCAGATTAGAGGGGATTTCTTAACGCATCTCACAATTTTATAATGTATCGCACGAAATTCCAAAAATACTTTCAGATTTTAGAAGTGTATTTTCGAAATACTCCTTCACAAATATAATTCATCCGTTTTTGAGATTCATCATATTTTACGATTAAGTTTATTCTAAAAATACATTTTATGTATCTACTATTATGAGAACTTTATGATATGAGAATAGCGTGACATCCTAAGATTGTGGTGAAATTTCATTAATGATAATAGTGTAATTAAATAAATATATAAAATTTTGATTAAATTATAATTAAATTTGAATTTTTTGGGAAATTAAATTCCCATTTTAATTCAACATGATATATATTATATAATAATAATAATAATAATAATAATAATAATAATAATAATAATAATAATAATAATAATAATAATAATAATAATAATAATAATAATAATAATAATAATAATAATAATAATAATAATAAAGTTACAGACAATAATATTATCTTACCAAATTTGTTTAATTTTTTTCAACTGCTTTTTTGTTAAACCCTTATAATATTATATTTTATTTTAATAGTATACTAATGCATGATATATATATATATATATATATATATATATATATATATATATATATATATATATATATATATATATATATATATATATATATATATATATATATATATATATATATATATATATATATATATATATATATATATATATATATATATATATATATATATATATATATATATATATATATATATATATATATATATATATATATATATATATATATATATATATATATATATATATATATATATATATATATATATATATATATATATATATATATATATATATATATAAAAGTAACTGTAGGTATCGGAAGTATATTTTTGAGAATAATTGAAAGTGTATTTCTGAACTAAAGTTAGTTATAAAATTGAGCGAATCTTAAAAACGACTGTAATATATATGTGAAAGGTGTTTTCGAAAATGCATTTTTGAGATTAACTGAAGTTTAACAAAAAAAAGTGTATTTTGAAAATACACTTTTGAAAAATACAGAGATAAAATTAGATTTTCATAGAATTCTTTTCACTTATATAGGGTGTCATAAGAAATCCACAAACTGAAATGGTTTTTTCGAATTTCATTTACAAATGGGCCGATACGAATTTCAGCCCAAATAATAAATTCAATAGATTTTTTTTCTATTTTTTGTAAAATTCTTATTAACAAACTAGTAGTTAGGCCACCCAAATTTAAAACCCAATTACAATTCAGCATGAATGTTATTTTAATTATGAAAACTAGTAAAGATGAAGTGCGTTTGCACGGGTCGCGTATTGTCGTTTATATTATATAATAATTTAAAATTTTATGATATTTTCAAATATTGCAAGGGATAAATTTATAAATATAAAAAATATGTTATATATATATATATATATTTTAAGGATATTTGTTCATGTTTTCCAAGATTTCTTTTTCAGATCTGATGTATGTGTATTTACTGAATCGTTAATGATGCACTTGATAAGAGGGATATTAACATACAATCAAGTTGTTGTTTGTATTGATGTTTGTATTGATGTTGTACTTGTCGAAGTATGATTCCGTATTTTATTTAAGCACTTTGTAATTTCGTATTTGCTCTATGGATGTGTACTTTTGCAGAATATCAACACGAATGTATGCTTATATTGAATTTATCATTTTTGACTAAATTTCTTTTCGTATCAGTTTTTGATAATGTCGTGGTGATTACATATATCATATCTTCAACTTTATGACATGATTGTATGATTAACTCTTTTGTCTAATTAAACAACATAACATTGAAGTTTTATGACAGTTTAATATGCAGTAACAATGATTGAACCATAAGTTCATCAAATGGAAACACCAAAATGAAGATAAACAAACAATAAGACGAAAATGCTATTGTATAATGTTTATAGTTCATGATGTTGTATGTTTAAGTCGAAACTGCATAATAACTGATGTTTGGATCAAATTAATTTGTGGAAAACTTCACAAATCTTGTCATTAATGTAAACACACAAATCTTGATATGTAAAGATCTAAGTACAAACACACATAATTTAGAATGCAGACTAAAAATGCATATCAATGATGTTGATGACCTTCGAAATCTCCCCCCAAACTTAACCGATAAATATGAGTCTCACTGAAATTAACAAATAAAAAAGAACAAATTAAAATTATAATCAAATGTGTATAAATGATGTAATCGTGAGTGATCATGTTTAAAATGTATGAAACATTAAAATGAATAAAACTCACATTCTATAAGTTTTCAAAAACCTCTTTGAAAACAACATTTGTTGTAGTCGCCAACGGTTTGTTATCTTTGTCATGGATTAATATCTTAAGACCTTTTTTTGCTTTTTACCCTTGAAACTACAACTTAAAATTGACTATGGCTGAAGACGCTCTTGGGCAAATATATAATGACATGATCCAATGACTGACCTTGAGACTTGTTAATCATCATAACATAACATAACATAACATACAATTAAAGGAAAATTGCCTTTTAGTCATCTTGAAGGGCCATGGGGACTGAGTAGGAGTAATATTCATTCTTGCGATATAGACGACA